TTTAGCCATTATCTTGGAGTCGGCTACAGTCTCCAGTGCTGCTTTTACAGTAGACTGAAGATGGCACCAAGCTTCTTCTGGATGAGTGACAGTCTTTTGTTCCGATAACTGCCTAGCCAACTTCTCACTGAACACGGCTTTGGTGTTTTCGTTGTCCAGCAGAACTCGTAGTGGTTTTGTTGCCAAATTTTTTCTACGTCCATTGAGACGCAGGCATATACGTGCTCGGACCAACGCATGATCGCTGTCCAAACACGTACTCCAGAAGGAGCGGCAGTCTTCCACCGATCCTCTCCAGCGATGACTAATAGCAATGTGGTCTATCTGTGTCCATCGCTGAGTCGAGCTCGGTGGACGCCAGGTCAGACAGTGCCTTTCTTTATGTCTGAAATTTGTGCTGGCTAAAAATAGGCGGTTATCTGAGCATAGTTGTAATAGGCGATCACCGTTATCTGTACGTTCAGCTGGGATTCCGAAAGTGCCACCTAAGTGCCTTTCTGCCTCACTCAGTCTACCCACCTGTGCGTTGAGGTCACCTGCAACAACCACTACGTCCGAACGTTTGGCTTTCGAGAGGAGGTTAGACAGTTTATGGTAGAACTCGTCCTTCACTTCATCCGAACTACAGTCAGTGGGTGCGTAAGCAGAGATTACAAAGAGACAACGGCGAGTCTCACTATTCCTTTTAGTTCTCACTGTGCCGTTCAGCCTCATAGCGCAGAGGCGACTATCAACTGGGATCCAGTCTAGTAGTGAGTTTTCTGCCCTGGTGCTTAATGCTATACCTACACCTGCAAGACCACGAGAGCTAGCTATCGAATCTCCAGAAACTCGAAGGGTGAATTTTGTGGATTCACCAGATTGGTCAGGAGAGGTCAGGTGAATAACCACACTTGGGTCCTGTATGCGTGTCTCACAAACACAGCACACATCCATGCCCGAGTTGCTAGAGTCTTTGCCAACGAAGCCTGTTGGCCAATTTGACGGAGGGTGCGGACATTGAAGGCTCCAATATGTAATTTGGAGCGTGGTTTAAGGAGACCAGGGATGCTGTTCTGTGGACTCAGATCGTTGTCGAAGGCTGCAGAGGTAGGAGAAATTGAAGATGATGCAGCATCATTAATTAAGAGACGTGAAGGAAGATTAGAAGGTAATGATGGAGGAGGAGGATAGCAGTCAGAAGAAACTTGGGTGCTGACAGAGTTGTGAGGGCGGTTGACACTTCCCGGCTGCCCACACCGTGGAAGGCTATTTCTTCTTAAGGTACCTGAAAGAGATTTGTGTGACCGCAGAGCCCATCGGACATCTGCTTGAGGCCTGTCACACCCAGCCTTTTGAGTATGATTATTTTGAACTTTTGTATTTTTGGGGCCGGATGGTCGAAAGGAAACGACAAGTGAACCAACACCGCCGGCCCGGCAGACCGTGGGGCGTGGTGGAGTGTGTTATTTTTGGGGCCGACCTTTTCTAACCCCCCCTTCCACTGAGAAGGCAGCATCAGCATGGCACTGCTGGTCATCCAAGGGAAACACCTTACTGCTGTCACACCCCATCCAGCTAGCAGCAGTACGACTTCGCCCTCAGACCCCCATCATAGTGTAGCAATTTACACTTAACGGTAACTGCTTTTCGTCTAACCACTACCCAACAGACCTTTCTGGTATGGTAGGACCTCGAGGGAACAAGCGTTCCACCAGCATAGCTCGTTGGGTCATTGTGATATGCAAGCCCGACCACCACGTCAAGGTAGCAGCTATCGGTCGCCTAAATGGAGCTCGAGAACATCAAACTCGGGGAAACTAGGTAGCTTCAAGATTTAATCGAGAGTGGATCAATCAGACTTTACTTTGACAGACCTAATAAACGACGAAGGACAATTGCCATATTTTTTGATGGAAAATGGTATTTGACTCTTCCGAGCCCAGATATCCATATAAGGGATTATGGGCAGTTGTCATTAGAAGTGATAACAACCAATGATATCCAGTGTTACCGTTCCTGTTCGACTTCTCTACAGCAAAGTGCTGATGGACACAAGCTGAACTACCCTTGACCCTAAATGGATTGAATAACTTGTATCAAGGCAACTGGTGCGCATACGACATAATCTTAATAAGAGAAAGACGCTGACAGAATGCAGTCTTCTGAACGCCTAGAGAAGAAATCTGAGTATGTTTAACATGCGTTTTAGACATGTTAAATGTATGATAATGCTTCGGGACTAATCCGAATAAAAGAACAGCAAATAAGGTGGAAAATGCGTTGACCACTTCACCTACTTGGGATCCGAGTCAAGTAGTCTATACCTACCTATACGGCTCAGATCAGCAACCAGAAACTTTATGGATTGGTGCCACGTTTAGGTTTAGCTACGCTAACCGATATTCCAAATCAACCCCACTTCGGCTGACATTGCACGTCTAATTAGGCAGTGGCTAGACAAGCACAAAATCCCTACGCCAACTCAGTCACTGAAAGCTCGAAGCCTTACATAGGACCATTCGCTTAACCTCAAGTGTGAACAATGTTGAAGTTAGACGAAGGGTACTAGACAAAATATGTAAGTCGATTGATAAGATTGTGAACCTTCATGGGTTCAGGTGGCTTGGACATGTGTTACGCACGCCGAGTCACCGTCTACTTCGAGATACCATGCAAGGAGAAGCTAGATTAAGTTGGAAGAGGGTTAAGGGTGGCCAGACCAAGATGTGGCACCAGTAAAGGAAGTCCTTAACTGTAGGTCTGAGTCATGTGGGGAGATGTAGACTGTCTGGTTGGGGTCCTCGGAACGAAAGAATCAGTGATTGAGGACTCTGGGTGACACGACTGAAAATCAGTCTCAGCAGCGCAGATGTACTCACTCCCTTTCTCTCTTCTAAAGCTTGAATATTAGCAGTAACCGTTATCTTCAGATTGCATATATTCTCTCACACAACTGTGTCTACTATGATATTACTCATTTTTTATCCTCCCGTTCTTTGTGTACTACTTTGAAGTGTGGAAACTTGAGCCGATGGACCAACGTGTGAGGTTCAACGTTGATTTTGTCAGTCAGTCAGCTTAACCTCGACATTATTGACATGGTGATTCCTGCACATGTAAGGAACGTTGTGAAGACTCCGTAGTCAAAAGCCAGTAATTGCTTCCCTTGTGTCACTTTCTTTAATATTGAAATAAGTCATTAAAGAACTAGATGATAAAAGATACATAAATGTTGATACCACTGACAAACTAGACTCAAGAAGTTGCATTCATGACACAGTCTTGAAAACCCAGTAAATTCATCTCTTCGCGGTGGAGAACTTACGTAATATGTAAATCGAAGAAAAATTAATTCTTCACGAAGAACTAACAATTATAAATAAATGATGAATCCACACGGTTTTCTGAAGCATTTAAACACTTTTTCAGCATTATAGAAAGATAAACACAATCTGCGGTAGTGTATGTTGTCAAGAAAAACGTATTTAATCGTGCATGGGATTAGCACAGTGCTGAACATGAAATGCAGGTAACCCTAACCACGTGAGAAAGGTTGCTTCTCTGATGCACAAGCCTTACAACCCTTATCATAAACTGAACTCCCTAGGTAAAGATTATAACGAGTACGAAACCATAGGTAAAAGGTCAGGAGAGCAATCTCAATGTCAAGGAGTTTCTACGTGATGACTAGTGACTACAATTTTAGCAAGAAGCTATATTGTAACAATTAGTCCCTTTAATAAATTTCGATAACGCTATTAGAAGACGAAGATTATCTGAAAAATGTGATGTATTTGCGCAATACATTTCGAACAATCTGATCACACATTTACTTGTCAAGTCAATTTATATATATTTAAATGAATCACAAGGTTAATACGAAAACAGCGTTTAAGATATTATACAGGAATAATCAGGGGCGCATACTGAAGTCTGCCGAAGCGTTAGCCATTCGTAAACTTAATCCCCCGCTGTGTGTACAAAAACAATTTGTTGTTTAATTTAATTTGCCTTGGTAATCCTTATCTGATTATATTACCAAGACTAGTGTCACAACCTTTTCATATTCACTATATTTGACCTTTAATTTTTATATATAAATTGACTTGACAAGTAAATGTGTGATCAGATTGTTCGAAATGTATTGCGCAAATACATCACATTTTTCAGATAATCTTCGTCTTCTAATAGCGTTATCGAAAGCTATATTGTGTCGATTTTCAAAGAACAATCAGTAAACTTAATCAGGATATTTTTTAACCCAGGTCATCCAAATGTTAAATTTAGGTATGAACATAAACTGAATTAAGTCATCACAAAAGGATTCGACTCAAACAAAGTAGGAAGAACTGAGGCTGGCAGAGGTATTATATTTTGTGCTAACATCTATCCGAAATTAACGCAAACATCAGGAGGTAGAAAATAGGAATTGATGTCTTTTTGCAAAACGTACCTAACTAATTTTATTAGATTCACCCTGAAAAACATACTGGAACTTTTCGAGTGTTTGTTGCAATATGCTAGAATTTCTGTCGGATTCAGTAGCAGGAACAGAAGAAATGTTATCCATCTTTAATGTATTTTTTGTAAGAGTAACTAGAGGGTAAGGATTTTAATATTTTCTCGTAAAGGCCATGAACTGAATGACATTATTAATTACTCTCAACTTCTGACCCAACGTTTCATTTTATCATCAATTGTCACTCCGTATCGATAATATCGGTCGGTCAAACTACGGCAATTTTAGACATTACCATAAATAAAGAAAAAAACACTAGAAATATCGAGAACATCATGGAGTAAGTAACATAGAACATATGTTAAATATCAAAATGATGATGACCTTTAGCTGACTGAAAAGTTGCTATGAATCGAAAATGTGTGCAATGACCAAAACTCAATCACCGGGTTAATCGACTTAAATTGGGAATAGATATATAATCAAGAAGAAGAAATACAAAGTAGTTTCAGGTAAACAACTTTCGAGTTAATGGGATGATAGCTATGAATGTACTAACCTGGCCATTTATCTTCTTCGGTAACATTCAAGTTGTCTGAAGTCCCGTTGGAATTCATAGACCAGTTAGTCTGGTCAGGAACCACTTGTTTGGCTGTCGACACCGACTCAACTCGTTCATTCAGTCTTCTTCTACGGAATTCCGTTGAATCTAACAGCCAAACACGATAGTAATATCGTGACCAAAAATCGGCATCACTAATTGACTTTTCGTTTATCTTGCCATCTGGGTGAACAAGCTGAGTTAGATATGTACGCATAAATGGATAAGAATCTAGTAGTTCTGCTGGACTAGGGTGTGGTGGCTGGGTAAGTTCTTCAACTGGAAGATGACTGTATTCGGGGTTTTTAGCATCTGCTAACGGAATACCATCCATTGGTTGACAAGTATCTTCATCAAAATAAGCTGTTCTCCAGTCGTAATAAGAGTGTATATTAGAAGATACAGGAGGAACTGGTGGTTCAAGTTCATATGTAGCAGGATCAGCTCTCAGCACATCGAGACGAGCCTGAATACAAATACAAAACAGAGAATTTTAGCTGTTTACCAGACAAATAAACTAACAGATCAAAACTGAATTACACTAAGAAGTACATTTCAAAAACTAGCCTTCAAGCAAAGTGGAGATATTACTATCTGTATATATTATATATGACCAATTTTTGAAATCGGAAAAACGTCGTCCAAAATCTGATGCCAAAACAAATTGTGATTCGGAACACCGTAGTTCTGTCGGCTTTCATCTTAACCCTTCTGTGATGATGACGGATTCACATGTATTCAGTCTCTAGCTTCTGTTAAGATGTTGCTTTTAAAGATGAAATAAACACTCAACTACTCAAGCTGGGTACCAGTCAAAATCAAGTGAATGAAGATTTCGGAATTTAAAGAGACTGACAATGGAATCGAATTCATAACCAACTGGTGCGACAAGAAAAGTTAACATGCATTTTAGGCACCTGAATACTACCACTGATTTTAAAAGAATGAAGAAATCTGGGCCTATAAAGAAGAAGTCTGGAAGTTTTGCAATTACGTCGGTTGGAGTGTGAACAATGTATCGTACAGGGAAAGTGATCCAGTAAAAGATAAATATTGAATCAGTGTGAGATTTCAAATAGATTAAAATGAAATTATAGCCGCTGGACCTGAGCATTGTAAACGACATGACTATTAAGCATTTAAATGAACTAAGCTAAACTTGTCGATCAGTTTCTCTCTCAGGAGTCATTTACTTGCGAATGGTTTCACAAATTTCCTTGAAAAAGTGTCTTACTATACGTATTAGTCCATGTGATGCACAAGGTTAGAAAATCTATCAAAGAAATTCTTGAAAGCTGAACAATTATTTCATAGGATAAGAATATACCTCAGAAGGATTATTTAAATGTGAGTCAGTATACGTAAATCATCGCTCTATGCTATAACTCATTCCTTTAGGTATGGTGCCACTTCTCTAGATATGGGTCCTCAGGCAGTTTCTCAACCAATACACAGCAGTGGTTATATGATTCCAAAATGAAGACCACAAAGGGCTCAACACACTAACTTCCTATTAATTTAGTCCACATCCCTGATTGCGCACTCAGTTATTCATATTGTCGTAACCATGTTTACATATAGCGTCAGTCGCTTCTTTCTTTTTATTTGTCGTTATTTCACTCTAAAACCAGACTAAATGATCGATACAACTCGGTCAACATTCAATGCTAGATAGCATGAAATTGATTGTTCTTCAGTGACCAATTAGTGTAAACTTAGCTCCCTCAGCAACCACGTGCACATTTGAACACGTCTATTGCGTGATGACTGATGATACTACTTGACTTCCAAAACCTCAGTAGGTGAGGCAGAAACCGAACCTTTAACTTACTCAATTGCTCACTGTTGTTTTGAATCCCGTTATTCTCTTACCACTTTAATTTACTCAACAGTTACCTTGACAAAACTGTCTTGCTATGCGAAATCTGATACAACTACACTGAATCAGAGAATTATTCGTGCTTTGATGAAGATATGGCAACCAACAAGTGGCTAAGACTCAGAAAAGCTACACTTCCCAAACCCACATACGAGATCCAACTGAAGTTCTTCTTCCATCGATACATAAAGTATCTTATATGCTTTCGTCCAAAGACTATGTAGTAACATCGCTCGAACTTGGAGTTATCACATTTAACTTTAGAGTTAAGGCCAAAAAACTAACCGCATCCTCATCAACACTTTTCTGCGTATTACCTAGGCAAGAACTTATATCGAAAAAAACAAGTAACTGCAAAGTAGAACGGTATCTCTTTTTCATTCCTACCCGTCCTGTAGTAATTCCTAGTCTGGATGCAACGAAGGATGACTTCTAATATTAGCTGAATGATTTCAACTATGTGCATTTCACGGATATCACAGTACTATCTACGGTAGGGAACGGACCCTCATGTTGGGTGTTTACGCTCAGAGAAGAGAGATTTAAATGGAAAATTAGTAAAGTTGGATGGTAAAGATCGTTTCCGATGCTTTGTATACACCACAACTTAATTTTAGTTCGAACGACATTGACACATTCGTCGCTGTTGTGTTGCTTGGATGCCTCGATTCAAACATACCACAATTTGAATGTATTCAGGGTTACTTGCTCTTCAGGAGCACCTGTTTGAACTTCCATTACATTTTAGTGTAGGTTAAGTTTGTTTTACGTTCTGGTGACAAAAATGAGTTTAAAGAAAATTGGTTTGACTCATTATTTTGACTAAATATCAGACTAAACCAGCATTAAGACTAGCTACTGAATTCTGGTGATGTACGAAACAAACCGCGAAAATGATGGATATAGTAACTTGTTCTTCTAAAAAGCCTTGCACTAAACATTAAATATCTGTAAGTTAATTGCAACATTTGATGCTCGTTAGACTACCGCAAGAGAAACCAAGATGACAAATTATATTTTTGAACAAGGACCAGGTAACCTAGGCATCAAAACGTGCGAGTATTAGCTACATTGTGCAAAAATGGGGGCTGACCTTTGCTCATTCAAGTTAGTGTAAGCAAGAACCGTGGTGTCAGTTTAACAGCTTGTGATGTAGATAGAACGCAGATCAACAATATTTAAATGCTTTTAAAGCTAGATGCAGTACTGGAATAACGGAACTGACCATGCCGTTTGACAAAGCGTGGAAGACTGATTTTGTACAATAACTCTGGAATGTGGCTATTGTAGTGTTCTTCTATGTATAAGACATGTAGCTACCATACAAGTCTTGTCTGTCACATGTTGCATCGAATCCATCTAATGCATGGATAAATGATTAGATAGGAATAGGTTGGGTTGCATGTGTTCATCTTGCACTAGCTCGTTAAGTATCATCACATGCATTGTAATCCGAAAATCATATTCCTGGGTATCAAGACTGTCTATGATTTGTTGGTTATAACTGCACGATGAAACTGCAGTTGAAAGGTGCTTATAAGCACGTTTAAAGTCCTTAACAGAAACACCTCAAGTGGAGTAAGAGATATAACGAAACCTCGTTAGTGGTTCCAACTAGCATTGAGTTTGACAGGCTTCGCTATTTGTTTTTAAATTTATCATCGTTGAAATCCTCAATACAGCTCCATAGTGTTATGCATTTCCAACCAAAAGCAAAACTTATTAATTTTGAGTATCTAAAAGACACTGTTTAACTGTAAGGTTACTTCAAACAATCTATTGGCTATCAGTATTCACAAGTACGGTATACATCTTGAACCAATGAAGTGTAAATAGCCTTTATAAGATAAGCAGGAAAGTGTTTGAGTACTCACTAATGGTGATAAGGCGCTAGAATTAGCCTAGCTCATGAATCTTCGTAGTTGAATGAACTAATGATGAAGTGACTGATGTGAATTCCAAGAGAAAAGAAACTTGCACACAAACCTGAATTCCATTTGGAGTCACCGTAGAGAGAGAATCAAAAGTAGAACGTCACACATGCGTGTATTAGGTTAAGTTGTCGCACTTCAGAACAGATGGATAAAATAAAAGTAATATAAAAGTAAACAAACCTGTGCAAGAGAATAAACAATTCCCAGATAAAGACTAGTGCGAATATTCAAGCTTTAGAAGAGAGAAAGGGAGTGAGTACATCTGCGCTGCTGAGACTGATTTTCAGTCGTGTCACCCAGAGTCCTCAACCACTGATTATTTTCGTTCCGAGGACCCCAACCAGACAGTCTACATCTCCCCACATGACTCAGACCTACAGTTAAGGACTTCCTTTACTGGTGCCACATCTTGGTCTGGCCACCCTTAACCCTCTTCCAACTTAATCTAGCTTCTCCTTGCATGGTATCTCGAAGTAGACGGTGACTCGGCGTGCGTAACACATGTCCAAGCCACCTGAACCATGAAGGTTCACAATCTTATCAATCGACTTACCTATTTTGTCCAACACCCTTCGCCTGACCTCAAAGTTACTCACACGGTGATTCCACCAAACGTGAGCAATGCTAGGAAGACACCTACGGTCTAAAACCTATGGTCTGTTCATGTCTCCTACTTTTAATGGCCACATCTCGCAGTCGCATAACAGGACGGAACGGACTGCAGCGCAGTATACTCGCCCCTTTATAGATATTTGGATAGCACTTCAGTGGGTGCCGCGGATGATGCAAGCTGACCAATGTCAAACAGGCCTTCTGTATCTGAGCTGAGATCTCGTCAGCAATCAACTCGTTTGGGCTGATCCAAATATCCACCACTTCACTTTCTATCATTAAACTGAAAGTGGTTGCAGATCAGTTCAGAAGCATCATTTTACATTTGACAGGTGCAAAACGCATGCCAAATATCCTCAGATTTCTGCTCAACATGTCCAGAAGACTCTGTATTTGTCAGCCACCGTAACGTTAGTTTGGTTGCAAAATGTAACCATTTTTGCGAAAATCTTGGTTTTCTGGACTTTAAGAAATCATGATATCCGACAAGCCTTTATTTAATCAATGTCTCAAAAAGAACACTTACATCAAGTGGGAATTTTATTAAATTAATTGAGGCACGGCAGCACGTGTGTTGTTATGATAAAAGTCACCATAGAATAATAAATATCAGTTGAAAACAGTAGGATCGGTTGCTTGAACATGTGTTACATATGTCTGTTCAGTGGATTCCACATCGCTTGAAAGCCTTGGAGTTGACTGAAGGAATCAGAGAGTTAGCTGGTTTATGAAGAATGGCAGTTATATAAGTAAGCCTTTTTGGTGCACTACTAACACTTGTATCGTTTCAAAAAGATCATACTACTGGCTTCAGATAGTATCAGGCATAGCTGAGAATCCTAAATAGAAATAACCAGTTTTCAGTTCTTATAATTCTTTATTTTTGAAGAGCGAGAAAAATCATGAAAACTCTGTAAATGTATCTCTTATCAGACTGATCTCAGATCATTCTATTCTTTTCTCTTTTCTAAACAACCACCTTATTTACGTTAATGTTATATTACTTTGTGAACTGAATTTTCTGACGCCCTTGTAAGTTGA